AAATTTATCTGAATTCATCCATTCTTACTGCCCAAGTGGTAATGAGTAATACCCGCCTATTTCGAGATCAGGAAATAGTGTATCTATTATTTTTTGACTAATTCTATAGCAATTTTTCAGGCTGATATTCTAGAGCATGCAAGTGGTCTGCGATAATTTTGAGAGTTGTACAGGAAATAGACGGAGCGTATCCTAGATCAAAATATATGATATTAGGACACATTTTTGCGATTTTGGAAATTGACAAGTCAGAAATAATATGTTGAACTCCGTAAAGGTCAAGATGTTTTAGATTATGGCATGATAGAGCTATTTCTTCTATAACTCCGTCTGTAACATTGCAAGATTGAAGATTAAGATATTGGATATTTGGGCACGATCTCGCAATAATACGCATTGATTTATCAGTAAGGGCACTCATACCATAGAGGTTGAGATGTTCCAAACAATGGAATTGTGCAATTTTTCTGATGGCTATATCACTTATTTCATCACAGTGCGCAAGTTTTAAACTTTTCAGATTTGAATATGAATCTGTAAGGGTGTGAATAGTAGTATCGATAAGTCTACTACAAGAACGAATATCTATAGATTGGAGGTTAGGATGGGATCGTGTAATATCATGTACAATGCTATCGGTGACATAATTCCGATACCCACTAATTCCTAGATGTTTTAACCTATTGCATGACCGTGCTATTTCACAGAATGATTTACTGGTAATATCTCCGCCAAAACCAATATCTAAAAACTGCAATTTATCACATTTCTTTGCGATTTTAGTGATAGAATGATCGGTTAAGCCCCCATTGTTAGAAACGTTAAGATGAATCAGGTTGGGATATACTTGAGAAATCTTGATTAAGACCGTATCATCAAAACCCATACTTCGCTCAAAATCTAAGTGGATTATGTTTGGGAATACTTCGACTATTTTTTCGATTATCTCATTCGAAAGATAAGAATGGTGCGTAATTATGAGACACTGCACACTATGTCTAAAAATCGGTCTAGAGTTTATATGTATCATTTTTATAAACTTTTTCTGTTGTTTCTCACCAATCAATTCAATACGACCCTATAAAATTAGACCAGTGCATCTAGACCAAAGTCTAGAGACCAACAAAGTTAGATATAATGCGTTATCTTTAGCTAAGAAATTAAAAACATTCTTTAATAATTCAGGAAGAGCAAGCGCCATATTTTTTATCAAGATATACTTACTTCAATAATTTCTTATTATGCATTTCCGAAACTTGGTTATTACATCAAGTCTAACATCTTTGAGCCTGGGCTGGGGATTACCAGCTCGGAAGATTTTTTGTTTGAATATGAAGTATATAATATACACTATTTATGGCGCAATCAAGCCTTATTTATTTGCCGGAACTATTAGAACGGATTTTATATTTCTTAGCAATAGATAAATCTCTCTATATATTTCCCGATTGTGGTACAGATGCAGTGCACCTATTTTGTGAAAGCGTATTGAGCTAAAGAGGAAAGACTTATATCCTGGGCAATCTCTTTCAAATGATTATAATTACCTTGCAAAGGAACGCTCTCGATTAAATAAATTCATAAGGATAGAACGTGCAAAGGATCTCTCTCAATTGAAAAAATTCATAAAGTTAATATGTAGGAAGTAAAAGCCAGTTTATTGCTCAAATGTAACTCATCTCGAAATATCATACTACTATTCACTTTCAGATAAAAAAATCATAAGCATTATATTTTCATGCCCAAATATAATCCATTTGAGTTTCAAAAATAGCATAGGATTTAGTAATAGAACATTAGAACTGATAGCAGGTTCATACCCAAATCTGAAGTATCTCAATCTGTGTGTTAATCAATCGGGTAATTATATGAGCTCTCGTGCTTGAGAAGTAGATGACAGAGGATCTATAGAGAATCGCGAAGTCATGCCATAAATTAGAATATTTAAATCTTACCTACCGTACAGAGATTACTGAACATTCAATTTACAGTATTATTCATTCTTGCCCAAGGCTCCAGCATCTTGATCTCAGCTTTTATCGAATTACTAATATAACTATCAAAGAAATTGCTGATTCGTGTCTTAATTTAAAGTATCTCAATTTGAAAGGGTGTAATAATATTAGTAAAGAAGCTGTAGATAAGCTAAATTCAAATATCTACGTAGAGAATTACCGGGATCCGAATGATATTCGAGCTAAGATAGAGCGAGTGGTAGATCTAATATCAAGACAGCCTAAAATTGTTAATATTAGAAGTCGGCTTCATCAGCCATTACGACAACCTAATTCCAATATATTCATGACAGTTGACTCTGGTGCTGATTACCCCATTATAGCTATAGGCAGACAAGCACCAAGGAATTATTCGATAGCATTATTTGATGATCTAGCTAGTTCAGAACAGTGATCACTAGCTCAGAAGAATTTGCTGGGCTACTCCTGTGCGACAAAAAATAATACCATAGATATTATGTATCATGGGCGCGGTCCCTGTATTTATTTTCACATATATTAATAATAAAACATGTGATATATTTTTTTGTATTAGTTATATATAGATCATGTTATCTGAGCTTGAATCATTGAAACAGCGCATCACTGAACTTGAGGCTGAGCTAGAGACCAAGAATTCTGAGATTCCTGAACTCAGAAAGAAGCTTGCTGAATTTGAAGCCAGGGATGTTGAGATTCACAAACTTAGAAAGAAGGTTGCTGAGTTTGAGGCCAGAAATGTGGAGCTTATAAAGCAGGTAACAGAAGAAAATAATAGACGTGACACTAGAATTGAGAATCTAGAGAAAAATAAGACAGATACCACTAATAGAGTTACTAAATTGGAGTAGAATCATTTGCAAAATGATAATACTCTTAACGACAACTCATCTAAGTTCAATTCAGATGCAGGCCATCTTGAAAAATTATCAGAGGATAAGGAGATAGACACTTTCTTAGTCGAGGAAAGTAAGAAAAGTATTGGTGAAGATATTAGGCGATGCAATAAGGAGAAGAAACTTCAGCGTGAATCAGTCGACCAGGACAGCACCATGCAAAGCACCTATCGGCCCGATACTGCTTATGTACCAGAAACTGTTAGCAATGTTGAGAAGTCATATGAGCCAGAGATTAATGAAATTAACAATTGTAGTTCCTCGGAACCACTTCATGAAATAGAGGTGGTTGCAGAGCAATCAGTCATTGCAGATATCCCTCAGGAAGAAATCTCCACAGTGGAATCAAAAGTGTCGCACGATATAAAACCTATTAACATGATTTCTGAAAATTCTGAATTATCACGTGATAAAAAACCCGTTAACATTGTTAACAGGTTTTCCGAAAATTCAAAATTGTCACATGAGAGAGAAACTATTACCAATACTTCGCTCACCTCCTGTCCAGAGATAACTGAATTCGTACAAGGTTTGTTGAAAGAACTACTCAGTCCCAGAGGGACCCTCTCATCTGACGATAAACTCCAGACTATAAAGTTTTCTCCTCCCAGACCTCCAGTTCTTGGATCAATAAGCATCAAAAAACTTGCCAATTCATTCTGCCAGGCAAATGTTGCAAGAAATAAAACGATTATAGCAAAGCGATCAGAGATTACATTATGGTGTTTATTCTCCAAAAAGTTCGAAGATAAAGTCGTGGAGCTTAGGTCTAATGATAAGAAACTTACAGATCAGACTGCAAGAAAGCAGATCTATAATGAAATGAAACCATACCTTACGGGTGTTTCTGATGGATATTTACGCGTAATGACCTGTAAAGCAAGAAAAATCAATAAGCTATTTGGCTATGAATACGACCCTAAAACTCTGAAAAGGATTGATGGAATACCAGGGTATATGGTTAATCAGGTCACTTATAGTGTTGATAGTATTTCAAGACTCACTAATTCTCAAATCGAATACATCATAGAACAGGTCAAATCGAAGACAATCACTAGTTCTGTGAATGAAATCTCCGAGCCCGTGGCTACTACTTCAGCGGTCCTTCAGGACCAGGCTCATGATTCGGTCCACTCGGGTGATAATTTTAGAGATACATCAGATGATACAAATTATTTTAAGTCAAACGATGAATCTGAATCCGATGCTAATAAATCCGATTCTGATGTATATTTCAAATCCGATGACTCCGACTCCAATGATGAGTATGATCACGAACTTCATGAAAGGCTTACGCGTGAAGAAATGGCAAGAATAGCGAAGTTAGAGGATAAAACACCAACTAAACCTGAGGTAAATGATGTCGATTTCGATAAAATGCTCTCAGAAGCTATTGAGGAAGAATTGGCATATTTTGATGATCCCGCATCTCAGTCAGTGAAAAAACCGAATAGAGAAGTTATTTCGCAATCAGGGGGAGAAACTAACGAAAGTAAGTTAGACAATGACTCTGATTCCGATGATTCTGAAGAAGAGATGCACCGAAGGGGTGAATCGGACGATGATGGGTATAATGGATACGGTGGATATGATGAATATGATGGTCACGATAGAGGCTATTATTATCGTGATGGAAGATATGTAAGGAAGGTCTCACCAATGATGAGTCCTATTATCTCTCCAGTAACTGCCTAGAAGAATTATTGGGCGAATCAATTACTCGCATTGACTGAATTATGCGAATTCGTATATTTCTTTTTTTTTCGAATCATGTAGGTGGCTTAGATATGATGCATAGTAAAACGTCATTTATTCTTCTCCGCAGTAATTATATAATGTTATTTTTCTTCGAGATTTTGAATTCACTATTCTAAGATCAAGAGTATGGTTCGTAAAAAGAATAAGAGACATAATCAATCCACACCATCGGCAACTTCAGCATCAGCTGAGGAGACCCAATCCGAAAGTCTTATAGTGACGGCTACGGAACTACAAGAACTTGTACGTCAAGGTCTCATAGTTGATGAAGTTCATGAAGTACTAGAATATGATCGAAAAAATATGCCTTGGATTAATAACTTTGTTCATGCTTCGATGGAGCTTGAAAACCAATGCAACGATCCATGAGAAAAAGCATTTCATGCCTTAATGAGGGAGCTCTTTGGTATGAAAGCATTTCGTGAAACATCCATTCAAGCTGGTCTCATTTCTAAGGCGCAAGATTTTGGAAATAAAATAGATAATCGCATAAGTGATTTTATCATTCAAATGGGGGAAGGCAAAAAAGGATGGTTAAGCCGTGGATCAGTTGCGATATTGCGTCAGATGTCAACTACGAAAAGAGTAATAGATTTGCTTAATATTGCCAAAAATAAAGGTCCTAAAACTCGTGGACAAATAATCATTTTCTAAAAGATATATTCTTTCAAAATCACGTAAGGTGACGTCTCTTAATTCCCAATAATATGACACTGGCTCATGTGAATCCGCAGTATATGCTAGGCGCAGTAATACATCACCGTCATCCGCAGTCATCATTTTTGCCGAAGGCGCTAAGGCGGAGGATCTATTAATAAACCAATATTTTTGTCACTATAGTGATGAACTTTCCCCAATGTTCTGGTATGTTCTATCTCACTCATTACTCAGTTCTGAATTACTAATAAGAAAACCATATACCTGATTTACATTTTGCGGATCGTAAGTCAGGCGTCGTTAAAAAGAAAATCAAAAATGGAAATAGAACGATTAGAATCTATGATTTACGGATTCTCAGATAAATAGTCAAATTATGTGTATGGGTAATAATACATTAATCCGTTTTTGGACAGGAATTCTTTATTCCGATTTTTTGTAAGGGGCATATCAGCCAATCTAGATATACAATTACTCCATTGTATAAATTTATAGCATATTGTTCATCGGATATTACTTTTAGCGCAATTTTCTCTCCTGAAAAGAAAGGGTCATATCAAATAAGCAGTATATTTTATTAGATAATCTGCAAATCGTGGGGTACAAGGGATGTAAAATTTACGCCATTACTCCCGATAGTTTTATTCCTAGAATGGATAATTTTTCGCAAAAATAATTAATGCGGATCTATATGATATTTTTTATAAATACCCTGCCTATTTTTCCCTTTACAATTCGATCCTTATTAGAGGGAACATTCATTATGAAACTACTTTGAATCGAACTGCGCCACAAGCAAATAGAACTCCCGCCTTCTTATATACTCGAAGCAAGAAAAAAAAATGTTTTCTTATTTACCTTGCCGTGAGGTGTTTCGCATGGTTATACACTAAAAGCAGTTTACTGAAGTGATAGTTCTTCCTTGGCTTACGGGTATTCATTCTTTAGACACGAATGAAATAAGTGAATAGGGATAGGCGACTAGGAGCTTTATATATTGTAGCATATTCATATACTGTACATTTCATGATCCCAGAGGGGTTCAACGAATATTTCAAAAATTTTTATTAATAAAAGAACTTTTCTTTTGCGTAAGGCCTTTCGCCAAGCATTTACGAAAAAATAATATTATCATTCATTGTTTGAAACATGTTGTGGAATATGGGGTGCACTAACTTTTTTCGTCTATAGGTACAAACGCTAGATAGGATCTTAAACATTTCTTTTTTTTTCAGAAATAGGGGTAAAGTTATGACGATTATTCCAGATTCATATTTCGATGCGAATTCTCTATGCTAGTGTATATGGATATTTATTTTACCAGGCGATTGTAAAACATATAAAAGGATTATTTCTAGAGAAGCGCTTTGGTATTTTTTTCCTCCAACAAGTAAAAAAAAATATCAATTTCTCATAAAACTAATAAAACAAAAATCTAATCTAAAAAATGTTCTCAAACACGGATATTTTCTTGATCGCAATCTTTGGTGTCACAATTGTTTTTTATGAGATGCTGACCCATGGTGTCCTAACTATGGAAATGATCCAAGACATTTTTTCTGGAAACGTAAACATTTATATAATCTTTGCCATCGCTATCTTCTTCTTTCGCAAATATCTAATGGGATCACGAGATAATAACCTCGAAAGAACCATCTTAACATTAAGCAATGAACTTCAAAGAATGCGTACAGAAGCTGAATGGAAAAATGATGCGATATCTCAAGGTAGGTCGTACATTAGAAAAAAATATAACGTCATACATATATACTTATCTGCGCCTTACTGCGTCTTATTTTTTTTTTCTAGCAGGATCTAATCGATTCTCTTCCACAAGTCACGTTTCCATGGGAAATTGTTCTGAATTTACGGATGAATACGAAACATATTGGGTCGAATTTACAGCCCTTTTTAATAATAGGAGGAAAAAAGAAGGTCGTTCTCTAACGCAATTATACAATATTTTATCAATCGAAATTGGTCTTAGTGCTAGCACATTGGCTAGTTTTTATCGTCATCAAAAACCACCAAGAAGAACTTCTATTGACAAAATCATCGAATGGGTTGAAAAGGAGGGAAATAAGAAAGTAGTTAGTTTTTCTGATAGTAGCAGTAGTAACAACAGTAGCAGTAGCGGTAGCGTTAGAGGAAGTATCGGTGGAGGTAATATTGCGAAATAACTTGATGCTGGGACTCTCATTTATGGCTTAGGATCTGAGAACTCCCTCCCTCTTTGATAGCATCATTTATTTCTTTTGCCACATCTGATTTTATTAATCAATAAAATTTCGCCCATTTCGGACATTTCATTTGCATCAGCTAAAATTTTTTCTGAAAATGATCGGCTCTTTCTTATACAACTATACTATTCCGCAATTATATTTATCACGTGATACATACTCTAATTTATGCCGTAACGTTCATGTGACTTGCAACAATATACGCGTATGCGCAAATAATTTTTTTTTTCTCTTACTTCTTACCTCTTACACTGAAATCGTGGAACGTCGTTTTTATCCGAGAAAAATAATACATTATGTCAACTATCACTCTTAACTGTTTGGTCGTAGGTGAAAACCCTTATGAAAATGCTTTCAACATCGAGATAAACTTGACAAAGGCGGTTAGTGAACTCAAAGAAGCTATCAAGAAGAAGAAGGCACCTGATTTCGATAATTTCACTGCAGACAAACTCAAATTATGGAAGGTGGACATTTCCCTTGAAGAAGACGGAAAATTAAGCGTTGCCAATACCAAGATTAATAATATAAATGACGAGCTTGGAGCCGTAAGGCTGACTTCGCTTTCGAAGATTAGCACGCACTTCCCTTCCCAGCCAGCCGACAAAATGAACATTCATATCATCGTACAACGTCCCGAAAAGATTGGGGGTATATTACAGTTTTCGACAGAAAAACTATCATACGTTGCGATTTTGATCAATTTTACAAAGTTTAAACACTATAACTTTTCACCACTCTAGCTACGAAACCTACCACCGTCACCACCTTGGGCAAGGCCAAGCGTCAGCTTTCTGAAACTCAATATGTTCGTCAGCACCTCGCTCGTAATGCATTGAAAGCGAAAAATTTTTATGTCTATTTCAATTACTCCACCTTGAAGGAAGGCGCAGAAGTACTTCATAAAACATTGGAGGAACTAAGTGACGATTCTGAACTTGGTGATTCTGTAAGAAGGGTTTTGGGACGGGACGAATTCTTCGAGAGTGATAATGTGAAGCTTTATTTTCAGCGAAAAAAGAGAAAGAATAAAGAGAAGTTAAGTACAGAAACAACATTAAGTATGGCAAACGAAAGGCTTAGTGTTGCGAACGAAATTGCCCACAAAAATTCTCTTGATCTTTTGAGGGATATAGCAGAGGAAGAAAGTCTCTTAGATGAAGACTATGAAGAATCTGAGGTTGAAAATGAACCCCCGCAAGAAAAATCCTCATCAAACATTCCTGTTGAAGTCGAAAGTTGTAGCAACACCCAAACTAAAAGCTTGCCATGCTATCTTAATGGACTTCCTATCCATGCTGAATACTCACTTATGGAAGAGGACTGGATAATAGACGGTGTAACCTTAAGCGATAATTTGAAGGGAAATGGGTTTGTCTTGAAATGTTTTCGTCAATAAGTGTTACTTGATGGGAATCAACTAACCCATTATTCATTGTTTGTTTAGTATAATTAGACGCGGTCACTTCAACTTTTCGGATGTGGAGTGTACATCGCAGATAAGCGATGAGCACTGGAACAAAGTCTTAGTCCCATTTTTGACGCAGTACAAGTTGAAAAATGCACTTTCCGTAGAGAACGATGAAAAAAAGCTGATAGAAATGTTTGGAGAAGAAAATAAGAAGAAGATCTTAGAGCCGGGAAACTTAAAATTGGTGGCCAGCTTGTGCGATGCCGAAGAGGACACCACAAAAGTCCTTGAAATGGTGAAGCGAATACGATTGGTTTTATATCTTAAAGAATTTGCTGATTGTCAAACCCTAAAATCACTGGAGATGAAATGGGCGACGTCTATCCCTTCTGACATTTTAGACAAACAGTTGCGAGACATTTTGTGGGCAGCCGAGCTTATAAAATGGGTGTAGGTGTTCCATGTCCATTCTTATTTTCATCTTTTGCTATATCTTATAATAATGGTTTTCCTGTAGGATCATGCAATGGCAAGACGGTACCTTCCTTAAGGAAATGAAAGAACCGTGGGTGAAGACACAGTTGACATCACGACTGCTTGTACCAGTAATTCCGGTAAAGCCCGGCGAGACTGAATCTGACGCAGAAAAGATTGTTGCCAATAATAAGAAATCACTAGTATCTCCAAAAATAAAAGCGAAGACTCGTGTAGATGGGCTTGACGATGCCGAAGAATTCGAAAATGTTTGGGTTGAGTTAAAGGGTGGTTTTGGTACTCGGCATGAATCTGAAAACAGTAACAATCGTGAAGATCTAGATGTATTATTCAAAGGTTTTTCAGTAATGTCTGCAATGCAGGCTTTAACAATGCCAGAAGAAGCAAAAAAGAGGATTTGCGAGTTAGAATTCTTTGGCATAAGAGGAATTGGAAATCACTTCCAATTCTTGGGTTGTCTCCAGACCTCCAAATATCTTATGTGCTCGTACTTGTTAGGGGAATTTTACTTACCATCATTTGAGGGAAGAGAAGGTAGTGGCATACAGGAACTGTTGTATGCAATAAGAATTGTATACTCATTCAAGGTAAGCATTTGTTTTATTATCTTCAAAGAGTTGCTCAAGTTTTTTCAACAATACTTGCATTCCTCACCAATTTACAGATAAGAGTGGAAGCAAGTAAATTGGCATTTCACCATATTAGGTCTTCGGCAAGAAGTAAGAGAATTTTTGATGCTGACTCTTCACCAATCAAGGCAAAGAGAGTTCGGGCATGATGACATGCTTTTCTGCTTCCATCTTTGGTACAACTTCGATGAATTGACTATTGACTATCAAGTTTTCCTTTCATTTGTTTTTGTAACTCCTATGAGATCCAAACTTCCCTATATATGTTGATTGGCCTGTGTTCACGTCCGCCGTTGCAGACTAAATCCCCTTAGATTTCCTCAATGAATGTTGTGTGTGACATACCGTTGTGGAATGGGTTGCTGTGATCCCGGACGTTGACTGTTACATTTGATAGTTGTCACATCCGCCGTTGCAGACTAAATCCCTTTAGATTTTCTCAACGAATGTTGTGTGACATACCGTTGTGGAATGGGTTGCTGTGATCCCGGAAATTGTTGGCATACTATTTACCGATTATAAAATATGTACGTATCAGCTGTGAAATCTTTCCAGACGTTATGCTTAAGAAAATGGTGAAGACTGATTAAGCATTCGAAGCAATGTGAGATGTAGCAATTTTCCAATAATAAAAAATTTTTCTTGGCAAAAAGTGCGTGAATTTTTTTCACGGTGTCACATGATTTTTATTTTTCACAGAGTACTGTGCTATGAGTTATCACTTGACATACTTTACTACACCACATGATTTATTTCATTTTTCTGCGCAATCTGACGAGCCCGGACACCATGTCCAGACTCTACCATTGGCAGATAAATTTAACCGGATGTTGATCCCACTTCTGCACCATCAGAGATATTTGATAAAAATCTGATTGGCCGATCATCTTGTGATTTATGGTAACTCACCAGCGCCTGGAACTCTCCTAGAACTATCAAGGAACTGGCAGGTAACTAGGGTGATACCTGTGATACAAATTTTTATGTTATACATCATGCAAAATCCCTTCGGCTAATTCCTGATAATCATGAGAGATCCACAAACTGATTTACATGCATGTGAATATGAGAAAAAAGGAATTAGCATAGCCGAGATATATGACCCTATATAAACCTCCCGATATGTTTGTAATCGAATAAAAATGAATCTGAGTTTAGCCCTTTTTCACCCAGAGGCTGAAAAAGAAAATCTATCCCCTTTTTCTGGCTTCGAATTTATGAGAAGGCGAGTATAAATTTGAAACATGATATTCATTAGTGTAAGTTACTAAAAACGCTATAAATCAATAAATTGTTATAAATCGTTATAATTCGTAAGTGAACAAGAAATATGCCTGATACGATTATTCTAGATAAGCAGTTTAATAAGATTGTGCCTAAATCTATTAATAATCGTCCTGGATATGATATGAAATATGTTAGCGCATATATTGTAAATTACTGTTATGGTACTGACCTCAAAAAAATAATCAGAATAGAGTGGGAGTATGATACATTATCAGTTGTGAAACCAGGTCAGTCTCTAGTTGCATGGGCTGTAAGTGTTAGAATTCGATTACAAGAATTATTAGCCAATCAGAGATTTAGTGTATATCACCGACATTGTTTGTTTGCAGGATTTGGGAATGGCAAGATGGTTAATTCTGACTATCATCGACCCAGAATCAATAAGAATAATATGGCTATTTGTTTTGATTGCTGGAAATTGGTAAAGATTACCGATATAAAACCAAAAAAGACATATTTTAGTGGATGGCGCAGATATGGATATGAGGTTAAATCCAAGGACTTGATGAAACACCATTGGGATACCGAATGTTCCAAAGCTAAAACTAAGGATGGGGGTGTACGACTTATCCAAAATGCTTATCGAAATTATAAGAGAAGGCCCGAAACTCTGGCAAAACGAGTTTGGGAAGCAGTTCGAAATGATAACACTCCTAAGGATAAAAAGTTTCTAAACATACCTAATTCTGATTATAGATATAGCATGGAATTTGAGATTTTTGTTAAAGAAGGGTATCATTCTAGACATGCTGTCCTTTATGATGCCAAAAGTTGGTCAGACCATAAGAGGCGTCAATTAGCTGATAGATTATCTCGACAAGAATTAGCTGAAAAACAATTACAGCAAGAGTTAGCTGAAAGACAGAAATGTGTCCTTTTAAATATTCAAAGACAGAAGGGATTTCATCAGATCGTGAACAATGGCCGAAAGATGCATCCACTATATCTTCTACAGATTGATAGATCAAAAGAGGTTAATACAAGCGAAATATTTATCTCGTCTCGGTATGTAAAACAAAATAACTTACTAGCATATATAATTAATCTTAATCAGTCCGCATTAAGATTGAGAGATGGGACAAAAATCACAATTGTTTAACTAGTTTAACTAACTGATTCTGAGAAATATATTAATTATAGACTATTGCTTTTAACTGAAGATTAGTATCATTTAGCCAAAGGTGCAATGTATAACTTATTCTTTATTTTTTGCGCTATATAATCTGGATGCATGATCACCTAGTATAATTGGCCGATGGTGCTATGCATGATCTGCCTATTCTGGGTTAGATCCTCCAATATATTGTATAACTATTTTAATAAAAGTATTTCAGAACAATCGGGATATATTTGTCATGGGGATGAGGACGTTGTTATCTAGTAAGAAATAATTGGATGTATGAGAAGATAGCCCAATTATGGATACGATTAGATACAGTATCACATATACTTGTTA